GTGTTAAAGTTTGACTTTCTTGGGGTCTTATATTCCTGCAGCCACTAGCCTGTCTTTCTGTGAAGTATGATTGATGTTATACTTCATATTTTGCTAACAATGTTAGATCTGTGAATGACAGCGTTGACACAAAGTAAAATAATCATGTGGAATCAAACTATTTTCTTCCTTAATATACAGTCTTTTGTGATATATATGAAATATGCTTGCTGAAACAAAGATAAATATAGACAAGCCAAATACAATCTGAAATGTGAACTTTTCCAATGCAGTCTTAACATAGAAGCTATACTGAACAGGTTTTGTTCTGAGTTTTCAAGGAGAAGATTGGTTGCTAAGGTTATATTAGTATGCCTTATTTATCTGTATTTGCTCAAGTTTGGGTGTTGTATTTGATTTGCTAATTGGAAAATTTGCTCTGTCAATCAAATATGTGAAAAAGGCTGTGAGCATGCCTAAGCAGAACCATGTCTCCACGACAAGAGCCAGATTTAAACAGCCTGGAATAATTGTAGCATTGATCAGTTCAGTTAATTACAAAAACAATCAAGTGTAAGAAAGTGCAGTTAAAAGAGTCTCTTGTAACTGATTAATATTGCAGTGGCAATATCAATAGTGAATGTTTTTTTACTCTATTTATTATACTGCATAAAAAAATACTGATTCAAAAACAATGTGTAGGCTTTGGCTTAAAAATAAAAAATAAAAATCTAATTCTCAAAGATTTATCAAGATAAACGTAACAGATTCCTTCCTTCTAAATTCAGATCTGACCAAGTGGGCTCTGCTTCTGCTCTGAGGCTCCTAATATTGGTTATAGTTTATACTGGCTAAAAATGTAGTGAATGTTCAATCATTTCAAACTGTCTGTTTTCCCGTCCTAATTCTTGCACACTTCAAGCAGTTTGGCTGATACCCCGGGCAAGATAAAACTTTGACGTAAACTGCCTGTCAGCACGAGTGGCAAGAGATCTGATCAATTGAGGTTGAGGAAGAAAAAATCAATAATAAATTGCCTGCCCAAGGCTGAGATGATGAATAATGCATCCCAAGGGAGTGTAAAATGTTTTATTTTCCTTTTTTGCTATACTGCAAAATGGGGAAAAACAGCTCTAAAGGATATAAGATGTTTAAAAAATGTTTTTAAAATAAATATATAGATTCAAGTCCACTTGTTGAGGACCCCAATAATTAAAAAGGTGACTTTTTTAAGCACTGCATTCCAAAGGCTATCGTTGACTTTTACCAAAAATATATATTTAAGATATTAAAGGTTTGATTTATATAAATTTTTCATTGGAAAATATGGATGTCAGGGAATAATTGTTTTAAACAAAAAAAAACAAAAATCACACTTGCCAGTTATGGAACCTTAACATATTTCTTGAAAGTAAAGTAACTGACTTTGTTCTTTGTATTGTAATCTGTAATCTTAATGTTTACTTATTTGTTGAGTCTGTTAAAAATGGGAGAGGGAGGAGAACATATCATTAGGTAAATCTGTGATGATTTCCATAAATCAAGAAATGGCTGCAAGCAACAAAAAATAAATAAATAAATAAATTAAAAAAAATTACCTAAATGTGTCCATATCTGCAGTCAGGGTTATAACTAAAACAATCAAAACTACTGGAATTATAGCAAATAAAATATGACATAAGCTCAAGTTTAGAAGACCGCTGTCCACAAAAAATGTTTCACTTTAGTATATGCTCCTCAGGGGTGCCAGTGTCTGTGTTGGACACCGTTGATCTAGTTGGGGAGTTTTGTGTGTCAAACAATATATTGATTAAAAAAAAAAAGGCTCTGGTATTGAACTGAAAACCAGGTCTCTGATGGAGAAAATGTCCTCATAATCACAGCATGATGGACATAATTGATTTCATCTGAGATGACACATGTCATCTCAAGGCACTTTACACATAAGACACCCTTAATTCCCTTTATAGTGTGAGTTACTTTCTGCTAATAAATAAAAAAACAAAGGTCTACAAAACAAGATATTTGGAACAGAAAAAATTTATGACTCTAGACTCTAAACTTTTACAAAATCACAAATGACCTCGTGACTGGAACAGTTTGACTTTACAACAGAAACAATTTTACAACAGAATGTTAGTAATAAAATTCGCCAATGACCGAACTATTCTCGGCTCACTGTCCTGCCTGTTATACATGCCTCTGCATTTTGCTAATATCAACAGACTACACTGTTGTAAAAACCACACTGACTGTTTAGCTCACCTTTATGTCAAGCAGATGGGCGACCCACAAAAAAACGTCTTGTGCTTTAACTATTTTGGTTTAATCATTTTGTCTCAATTACAAATCTTTTACTGCTGTAATGTTATAAATAAGGCTTCATTGAGTTACACACTAATTATGTTAATCAGATTTTTCCAAATGCAAATAGACTGTTTAGATAAAAGTGTGTCTAAAATAAATACTTATCCAAATAATCCAGATTTAAAACCTTTTTAAAGTTTTGTATTATCATGCATATTAACAGAGATTATGATACTTTTTAAAAAGAAATACACATGATGTTGGAAAACACAAGGGGAGGAAATTATAGCTAATATAAAAATGTGGGTACAGAGCCTGGAAGTTGCAGGTTCTTCCAGCAGATTTTAATCCCACAAAGATAAAAAATCACATTTTAAATCAGATGGTAAGTACTTTAATTTGTTTACTTGGCAAAGGGATTTAAACTACAGAGTTTAAAAAAGTTTGCATAAGAAATTCTTAGAATGTATTTAATTCAATTTGAATACTTTCTTCCGATATTATTTGTGCACTGCAAGTCTCTGCTCTTTGAATGAGGACATCAAAGTAAGTGCCTCCACACCAGGAGCATGGAAATTATGTGTTTTTGAGTGAAAAAAAAAATATTTTTATGAAGTTGCTTAAATTCGATTTATCTGAGTAATGTAATTTTACTGATTATTAACTGCACTTATTTTCAAACAATTTAGTTAATTTTCCGTTTGCCTGTAGTTCTGGTAAAAAAAATTAGAACCCTTTTAAAATTGATTCCTAAGTCACAAATGCATTATAATTTTTGATTCAGTAACAAATGTTGTCAAATTACATCTTTCAAAGATGATTTAAATCATAAGATTCGTTTTTTTGACTTGACTAGGAACATTAACTGGGTATTTAATGCTGTTATTTGAAATGTGACTTCTGTTCTTAGTGAGAAAACTTCCGACTTGCAAAACAGTAACTTGATCCCACCACTGCTATACTGAGAGTATTGAAGAAACAAGTTTTTCGTTTTTATTCATACTTTAAAAGCCAGAATAGCTCCATGAGCAACTACTGAAACCTTTGGTTGTCAAAGCAGCAACACTATATTGCAGAAAAGTATGAAACCCATAAAAAACATAAAAAGTTGTTTTAAAAAAACGCCATAACAACAGACTGTTATAATTTACTTAGTCTAGCTTTAGATTATTTTGTAGTTCTTTACCCAAATGTCCTATTTGATCCCAGTTATGCACATTAGATAGGGACTATATCAAGAAATGCATTAATAATAAAAATTGATACAAACTGGAATAGGCTTTATAGACAAATATATTGTCCTTATTATGGTCAGAATGTGTATAATTAATGAAGCTTCTGAAGATTCCTCAGACAATTACTTTCTAAAACATGCAAGTCCTGTGACAGACCCAAATGTACTGTAAGACCTCTTGTTGATAGTCTGAGGTAGAATAAGACTAACCTCCTAAAACTTCCAAGCTTTCAGAGCCCTTTGTGTAAAGAAAATTATGGGTAGTTGAGAAAATAATAGGTCTAGAAGAAAAAAAAAAAAGTTCTACTTCTTAACAGCACCCTAACAGCAGTCTGGAATAAATGAAAAGTTTATGGATCATATCACCACAAAGAATGATTCACGATGTAACGTCACTTTTGTCCTTTTATTTTAGAAATATAACATAACACATAGCATCATATATAGAGGTATCAAATTTTCTCAAGTTAGCATTTAGCTGTTCAGTTCAGCTTATCTGGATCTTTCAAATCCATTAATTAACAGTTTAATGATGCACCAGCTAAGCATTCCCAGTGCAATTCTTATTTCCATTTTCTCTGACATCTGACCTGATTTTAGATCTTTAGTTCTTATATTTCTTCCTAACGGCTGTAAAATATGAAATAAAAATGTCCTTCTGGGGTCAATCTTGGATCTAATTGGTAATGAAGTGAATATAAGATTATCTCGATTTAAGTACTTTGACTTAATTAAATTCTAATTAATGAAAAGAGGATTAACAGTGCAATTTATTAGTTGTTCCTTATATAGACAGAAAAATGGAGGAAATTATTTGTAATGCATTGAATGAATATAAAAATATGATTCTTCAATAAAAAACCTTTAAGTCACTAATTTCCAGCTATTCAAGAGAGAGATGCGTGCAGGGCTAATAATATGCAATGGGTTTAGAATAGCTGACTATGTTCACAGTAGCAGTTTCATATCAGACTAAAAACTAATTTCACAGCACTTAAACTAAATAGGAATTAGATATTAAGGGAAATACAAGAAGATCACCTGTACAGCATATTAAAAAAGTTACTGAAGCAATAGCCTTTCTGGGCTTGAAATCTTATCAGAATTTGCAGCAGTGGGTGGAGGCAAAAGCCTAAACTGTAAGAATTGCATTAGAAAATGTAAAGATGTCCAAAACGAAACGTTTGCTCAAAATGAATAAAAAAAAATAAAAAAAAATAAAAAAAAAATTTGATGATATATGATATCTTTATTAGTACGTTCTTGAATGATCTGGAACAGATCTTCAGCAACTGAATCATTATTACAGAGCACAAATACAATTATTGCTGCCATGATGTGCTGCTCTACACACAGATACATAAAACCCTGTTAGTCAGAGAGATGTGGGTGGTGTGGGGAATATGTATTAAGGCAGGGACACATCTCTGATAAGAATCTCTTTAAGAAAACAAAACAAGGATTTATAATAAACACTCACTGCTGCCTCATCCTCCCTACTGTCACTGGTGTCCTCGCTCTTGTGGTGTCCGGCAGAGGAGCGAGCGTCCCTCTTTCGGCTGGCATCCGTCCCATCCGTCTGTCTCTCTCCATCTGGACAAACAGGAAGAAAATATTGAACTTGTTCAGATGGCCAGCAAGGATCATTATCTTGACAAACGTTATAGACTTTGTCATCCCTACGTTATTATCCTCTCCATTTTCATCACCAGCAGTAATTACATTATTTTTATTCCAATCGCAATCATCAATTACAAATATCATAATTTCCATCATTGCAGAGGTCAACAATGAAATTGTGTCATTTCTCTTTTTTTCCAAAGAAAAGACTAATAAAAGTGGATTGATGAGTGTAGCCTAATTCATAAAGGATAACACTTGAGAAATATATGGTTTATAGTATACAAAAAGATATTCCGTAAATAGCATTTGATGCATTAAAGTTACAGCAGAGTGTTACTCTAAAACGTTTTGATGCACAACGGAAAAAGTTGCCTTTGATTTCCATGATTTTGGTGCTGATGGTTGACTTGATTGCTCATTTCATTCAACTGTGTAGCTCTGTTCCTCATGTCTGCTTATCTGATCCACCTGCTCCTGCTTCTATTTAAACTCCTTGATGCCAGCCATCAGTGCCAGATTATCCTTGAGCCTTTGGTGTAGGGAGTGCTTGAGCATTACTAATAGTGTTCTGTTTGCCTGCTCCTGACCTGTTTCTGTATTGGGACTGTTGAGCCTGCCGGCCCCTGTCTTAACTGTGTACCTTTTTTTTTTACTCCTGTTGGATTGTTCTAAGGACTGAACTTGTATCTCCCTTTTGACTTTACACTGTGGATTATTCTGCCTTCCTTCGTCTGCTTTGATCTGATCTCCTGTCACCTCTGCAGATCTTCTAGGCTTCCTTATCTGGAACTCTCTGGTAGTGTCCGCTGCATCTTGCCAGCTGACCGGATGGAATCATCCTAATTCTCTGGGCACAGACTAAAGTCTCAAACCAGGATAGTGACTATTCTTAAGCATCCTCCATCAGATTATCGTGGTCACTAACCTGTGTTTCTCTCCTATAGATGTGCCTGTCTTAGACTTCCTAGCCGCTGACACTGCATATCCGCTTTTTTAAATAAACGCTTTTAAGTTAGTTCACTGTCTGCTTGCCTGAATTCTGGGTCCTACTTTCTGAGCCTTGACATTAATGGCAAAAGTTCCCTTTACTGGGAGTGAAAAACTAATGTTTATGTGTGTAGGCATACTTTTCAAAGTGTGTGTGTTTTCAGAACATTGGTTGAGAGAGAGCGCTAATGATCTCTCTGTGCTCCAAGTAAAACCCAGGGAAACACAGTTATGTATTATCAAACTGAAGGATTTTCAACAGTTCACGGGGGTCATGTTATTCAGAGCTAACAGAACCACACATCGCCCCAAAAGAGTTGCTGTAAACATTTCCAGCTCATAAAAAAGGAGAATCCATTCCCTGTTCAGTCCAACCTTCTTTTATTTGTATTTGACTCCATTTGATTCCATTTGGCTCTCATGCACAACACAGTAAATGCAAGGATGGGATTCAATAAAAGATGGCGCCTGTGTTATTGACTCCCTCATAAAAAGTTATAGTGACCGAGTGTGTGAGGGGTGGGGGTGACTTTGTGCTCTCCAAAGCTGAATGCATTACAGTAAAATTGGTTCATTACTGTCTGCCTGACCCCGGTGGATGTTTTTTTCCACACACATACTTCAAAGTACACAAAAGCATGAAGATAAGTGCGTGGTTATGCATGAGCTCACACACGCACAAAACCAGTGAATGTGTTTAAAATACTAAACAGGGAGAATGAGCAGCAATAAACCATAATGAAGACTAATAGTTTTCCAATATGTTCCCCTAATAACAATCCTGAGTGGGTTGTATTGGATGCAATGATTGAAGAAGAGGCGGAGCTGTGGAGAGACCATTGGAGATTAAAAGACAACTAGAATGCAGGCTCTGTTTCTTCTTCATTCATAAACAGAAACAATATTGTACAGCAGAGATGCTATAAGCAAAGCTGCAAAACATAATTGCTTTTGATATGTCTGAACTACTTTTTGAAAGTGAGGTAAATAGAATCTACACTAAAGATTTCCATTCTTCTTTTGCTTGGATATCATCATCCCTGTCCTACTGTCTTAGCATCTAAATCCAGACAGTTCTAATAAAATATACTTTGAGCTGAGAAACAAAATCTACAGCTCACGACGAATTACTTTCTATCTTTTCTAAGCGCTCTAGAAAACAAATCTAATACCAATAAATAGAAATGAGGACTTTCCAAACTTTCCAAGCCATTTGAGATAACAAACAATTTAACTATGTAAAGAATGTAGTACTATGCTAGATGCATTAATTAATGTTAAATTTGACGTAGTACTTTACATCTAAAGATTATTCTAAACATCTCTTGGAGCAAGCTGAGGTGTAGACAGTTTCTAGCTCTCACATTGCTTTACACAGACCACATGGTTCTTAATACTTTGATGTGTACAAATTTCTAGGAGGCAGTGGGGAAGTTTTTAAACAGCCTATAAAATTATTTTTGAGGAGATTCACAGTAGCAGCTTTAAATGGAAGGGAGAAGTCTTAAGATTTGTGCAATGCTAACTCTACCCTACTGCGCCTGCTGATAGTCTGATAGTTCCAGATGTTTCAACGTTTTCATGTTTCATGTGACTGGCTGATCTGCTGTTAGTGTTGACAAGAACCTAAAAAGGTACATGTAAGGAAGTGGCCAGTAAGAGCATCTCTGATATTCTTTTCGTTAAACTTATAGTGGAGGATTTTCACAAATTTTTGAAAAGACATGCCCTCTCGATTTTAAATAGAAAATGCACATGCACAACTCTGGTGCCCATTTCTCCTTGTGTATGCTGTTTAAAAGTTGCTGTTTGCATTGCTCATACAAGCTTACTTTCCTAAAGAAGATTTGCAATTTTTCCACTATATCAGATTCACCACTGGCAAGTGAAAATGGGAATGAGCACATAGGACGGCCTTATGTAAACATATCACCAGAATGATTGACGATTAAGAGGACCGCTTATTTAGATGATCCACCCGGAAAAAGAACATCCTCCACTACAGAGAAAAGCCTTGAATTCGCCTTTTAATATCTGAAAATTATTTTTTCCAGAGTCCCATAGTAGTCAAGGAACAACTTGAACTTTTTTGAGTACATAACCATTTCAAAATATTAAAGTTGAAAAAATCATTAAATGAAGCACCAGCCAGATGCTAAAGAGTAAACCATCAACTAAAGAAGACTCAGTTAATGCTGCCGAGTCAATGACCCAATATTATCTGCTCGGTTTCTTTATATAGGAATCCCTTTAAGCAATCTGTGTGTTTGGTTTTGTTAAATTGACTCTACAAAGTTCCTTAAAATGACAAGTGCTGTGATTTAGCACTATATAAATAAAATGAATAGATTTTTTATTTAACTTAAATGTAAAATAGCAAATTCTTAACTTAAAGTATTGCCTTAGGAAGTAGGGATTGTTTTAGGAATCACTGTATCCATTTAAATATGTTGTTGAACACAAGCAGCATGCAGTTACTGTATGCAGGGTTGTAAAAGTTACTATTACAAAAAGTGCTCTCTAATATATATAATATGGATGCCTGTGAGTATATTATTGTTTTCCTCATACGGATCCATGTCCAAATAAAAATGTTCACTCAGGTTTTTCATTAATGACGAATCAATTAAAAATGAAACAAAAGATTGAAGAATTTCAACATTTTAGTGTTGATTTAAGTATAAATTTGTGTGCACAAAGCAAGAAATAAGCCTGGTTTGCTCTTTTATAGTTAGACTTATCTCATGCTGCAGCCAAATGTTTTTCTTTGATTTCTTATTCCCTGGGTTTGCTTAAACATGAGCTTGTGTGCATGATTTTAATTCTTTGTCCGTTAAAATCAAGTTGCAGGAAGAGGACCCTCTCAAGGACATTCCATGTGCCCTCTGCAGCAAGTTAGAAGTCAGTGCCTGCTCTGTGACAGGACTTCCTCAAGCCTCCATACTACCTTTAATGAAGTAATGAAGAGCGAACTGGCAGGTTAATGGAAGCCAATTGACTACAAACTCTGCCACCAGTGGGAAACCACACAGAATACTAATCATTAAAGAGTCACCTATTTTATGTCCTGCTTAATCAGTCTATGGCCTCCAGTTCTAAAGCAACAGCAAAATCACACATGCAGCAAAAATGACGGAAAGCAACTTTCAAACTTTGTGAAGACACAGATGAGCACACTGTTTTTAGTTTGTTTCTTTGTATTTTATAAAGGCCTCACAATGCAAAGGGAATTGTATGAGTTTGCCTTGCGTAGCATGCCTTTAAAACTACTGGCATTCTAATCTTTAAAGAGTTCATCCAACTGCAGCTGTCACAGCTCACATCAGAGATGCTCAGGTGTGTTTGCGATCAATGTGTTTGTGTGTAGATATGCAGACCACATGGAAATGCATGTTTATATATGTAAAGTGTATATATTTAAAGTATATATATAAGTATATGACTAAGTGTTGATTTAAACAAGAATGATAGGAACCCAGAGTTTACTGTATGCCAACTGATAAACAACAAAGTGATGCAGCAGTATCCTGATCAAAGAATCCAGAACACACTGCTGCAGAAGGTAAAAATATAGCAAGGAGAGAGATGGAAGGAAAACAGGATGGATATTTTGGAGTATTTGTAACATTTAACTATTTTAAAAGTATTTTCAAATTAATAATTCTGTAATATAAGCATATTGTATAAATGTCATGAGTGTCAGTTTTCCTTTTGCTTACATGTTAGGACATGGTTACTCAGGAGGTACTGTACAATGGCTGACTCACAAGAGATGGAAAAGTTTTATCTAATGCTTCGTATAAGGCATGGAGAGCTACTGATGCTGCTACGCTCTGTGAATTAGATTAGTATGTGCACACAGAAGGCTCTTAAAAGGACTGTACAGAAGAAAATCTTAATTAGATAATCTAGATGTGTTAGGCTTCCTCACTGACCAGTTGGAGAGTTAAGTAGACTTACAGCTGCCCTCATTGGTATAAATT